ACCGGCCGGAAAACCGGCCTAGTGTGAACCAGGCTTTAGTCACACGCCCAGTTTCCCACCGAAAATTTGCCGCAGTCTGACCAGGCCCTAAACCTAACCCTAAAGGCCGATTCATACTTCATTTCGCGTACGGGAAACGTGTCGCGTCGCGAAAAAGTTGATCTGAGCTCAACTATTTCGCGTACGGGAAACCCATCGCGTGACGGTCGCGCGATGAGTTTCCCGTACGCGAGTATACGCTGTATACGCTATATACTGTACGTAAGTATGAATCAGGCTTAAAGCGGGACTCACATAAGCTTTTTTGGGCGATGCGACGCGATCTGCGTTGGAGGCGTGCGATGCGAACTCGCGAAATACCATTCACAGAAGAAGTCAGCGATGCGACAACGCCTTGCTGATTTGGTGCGAAGTTCAATGCAGGTGGGTACGTCACCATGGTATTCGAGCGGTTTGGTACAACTTGTACAAATTTACGGGCAACTCTTGAACCTTTATACAACTTTGCTGCAGAAAAGGTCAAAATCGTACGCCAAATCATACAAATTGCATTGCAAAAGTTGAGCCAAGGTCAACGTCTGCGATGGCCCAGTTGCGGCAGTTGTGTGGGCTGCGAGATGGCTTCGATTTGGGGATTTCCCGGCTTCTCGGCCGTCGCATCACCTATGAAGTCTGGCTATGCGGATCTGGGAATGGGCAGCGGACAGAGCTTTGACCGTGGAAGCTGTTCATGTTCCCGGTGTAGAGAACACCACGGCAGATTACTTGTCACACAACCTAGACAACAGCGGCGATTGGATGGTCCCGGACCAGCTGTTTACCCTCGTCCAACAGCAGTTCTCTCCTCTGCATCTGGATCTTTTCGCAGCCCGACACAATGCCAGGCTGTTGTGTCCTGCCCCAGGTGGGTTCTACTCGGACTCATCCAGCCCGATCACACACACACTCGAGGCCATTACAGATTTCAGTTCATCTCAAACTCCATATCCGAAAAAGACCAAGCTCCTGTGCGAGCATGCGCACTACATACATTATGGTCCATGTCCAGGACATGACAATTTCCCCCTCACTAGTTGAGGCGAAGCATCTAGAACTATGCAATAGTAACATGCAATCTCAAAACTCAAAACTGCCGAGACATAATATTTCATGATACACTATACCCCATTATATACACCATAAATTATAATTATTATACAATATCCAGCAGAGTCCAAAATATATCATTTAAACTCTACAGACTAGAATAGGTCTATATGAACTGTGTGTTCTGAACGTCAATCCTTGAAACGAACTGGTCGAACAGTAGCGCGGGTCGACCGTCGTTCAGCTTGCGGTGACGACGTCTTGCTGTAGCTGGCACGTGACGTGCTAACCAACGCAGACTCACTAGTACCGGTTGTTGCTGAGACCGGCGCGCCTAGCTCCGCTGCTGTGACACTGGCGTCGTTGTTGCTGAGTGACGGCTGTGACGGAACCTGAGCTGTTAAACTTGCTCCACTCTGCTCAGACACCCCTGCATCGAACTGAGGGATTTGCCGAGAAAGGAGCTGGTTGCGATGGCGTTTCCACATTGCATCACCGACTTGTATCTGATACGTCATCGGACTGAGAACTGCCGTGACCACGGCTGGGGCCCACTTATCTCCTCCTTTGCCGAAATTCAAAGCCAGGACAGCTTGGCCGCACTGAAATTCTGGGGTCCCATTGCCATTCAGCAGATTTCTTCACCAGATTGTACAGAGGTACCATTATTGTTGCGAAATGAGGTATGAACCGTCGCAAGAAATTCGCCGTTCCAATGAATGATTGAAGCTCGATAACATTCGAAGGAGCCTTAGCGTCCCGCATTGCCTCAATCTTATCCGCTGTAGGAGCCACACCAGCACTAGAAATCGTGTGACCCAGGTAGGAAATCTCAT